TCCTTTCGTAAATAAGTGGTGCTATTAATGTCAACTCCACTGCCATCGCATTTTCGAACAGATTCCCCAACTGAGCCTGTACATGGCAGCATTTCAACCCGCGAATTTTGTTAGACAAATGCAAGGCCTTGTGAAAACTGTCAAGGAGAAAAAGGAGGATGTGCAGGATCTGGCTGAAGATGTCAAAGAACGAGTGGTTAGTTTTGTCACATATTTGTATATCTTACTATTCTTGATAAAGTCAAAGTTGCCTCTTTGTGAAGGGGTTCTCATTAAGATTACGAGTTCTTATTTTAATGGCCTGGATGGCTCTTGGACTAGCCCAAATATGAAGTTGTCTATTCAGTCCATCATGTAGACTTGAAAATTTGCCTTCGATGGAGAGTAGAGGACTGACCAAGAAGCCATCTAAGATCTGTCTAAATGAACAGGAGGAATTTTGACTAGCAGTGGGTGACTAACCTACTGTAATACTGACGGATACTACAAAAGGTCCTAAAGAGGAAGAAGACTAAAGTAGGTTTGCAGTACTGACCAGAAGGGAAAACAGCTTCTTAACTACGCCAACAAAATAGTAAAAGTGCGCAATAATGGTAACAGCAATCGTGCCTTCGCACTGATCCGTAAACGGTGACCCGTCAAGCTAACACAGATTATCCTATTCAAGGGGAGAACGCCACTTTAAATATGTTCCCCAGGTATAGCAGGTGTCAGAGTTCCTAAACCATCGATTAAAAACCCCTAAATGAATCCTGGAAGTAAATATCCTGCAAGAGCTGTGTGAACTACCCCCCATGACTCGAAGTGAACTCCAACATAGCTGACATTATGCCCTGCTAGAGATTTAGGAGGAAATGATCCCGACTACCCAAGCCGGTCTTCTTGAACAAATTCCTCCTTCGGTCGATTGTATTCCCCAATCGATTTGAATGCCTTATGAGAAGGCAATTGGCCTGCCTCGAAAGGGTCAACAAGTAGTCCATTTCCTATGCCTTTTGGAACAAATCCTAAAGTGCATTCTGAACAAAACAGTTCCGTCTAGCGATAGGAATTAAGAATACTGAGGACGATCATTTTCGGCCAGATTGCCGCCATCGTTCAGTCCAACCACCGCGCTAGACTGGAAAGATCTGAAATTGAGGCATGGTCATAAATGGCCTTTGATAACACTAGCGTCCGTCTCAATTAGCACAGTAATTCTATAACTAAAAGAACCGCAGAAGGACTTTTATTTCTTAATCGCAAATGTATTTCGACAGTAACTGGGAGTATTAGTTACTCAAATATGCTCATGTCACTAGACAGAGACGCAGATTTTATCAGACTTCATTCAGAGAAAGAGGGTTAAGTAGCTTCTGCCTGAAAGGACCGGTTAGACAGGACGTTATAAAATTTGAATTAGAAGGATGGCGAACACCATCTTAACGAGGCAATGTGACTGTCTTGCCTTCTTGCAGGGCATTCTGGGCAGCCTTATCCAACAGAAGGGAAATAAAAGCATGTTAACGAACTTGAAATGATTCGTACTCTTACGCTTCCGATATGAGCTCTCTTCCCCAGATCACATGCTCAACAGGATTCATTATTTTCGAATTCGATAAGGTTGTCGTGATTTTTAAGACGTTTTTGCTTGTCTTGGGAAGTCCCGCATATCCCACAGATTCCGAAGGAAATCGAGGACTTCGCGAATGACGCGGAGGGACACATTTCCAAGCCTGGTCAAATGGGACCAGGGAGGGAACAACGTTTCCAATGCTTTTAATAACTCTGTAAAGAACGACAAGGATCCGGGACCACTCGAGTCCCAGTGCACTTCGCCTGAGGGAAATGTGCATATGTGCGAGGTAGAAGCGGAAGACAAGTTAAACTTGCATGAAAACGATCGCGTCTTCCAAAGCGCAGAATGCAGAGCAGACGCTCTTTCGTGTTTCTCGAATGAAGGCGAATGTGGACCCTCGAGTTCGCGGCTAACACACCAGAAATCGAGCATACCCAGGAGCAGGCAGCTTCGAGCAACAGGAGTGGCAAATGACTTTGACGAAAAGAAACACCTGCCGCGAAAACTTCCGGAGGTAACGACGTCCCGATATCGGAAACATCAGAGGCTGACCAAACTCTCTTAATGACCACTAGAGCATCAATCTCCGAGTTCCTGGATGCTCCCTCAAAATCCAGCGCTCATACTGGCATGCAGAATGACAGAATCCCAAATTTGCCATTCTAAGTCTTGTCTTATGTTTCAACACATCTATTCAAGAACAAAATAGGCGACCAAAGTCTTAAGATCAAGTTTTTTTGCAAATTCGGAGTTGAGTATGGTCAAAATTTCAATCATTCTGACCTGTAAACCACTAACATGAACACTCGCCGACGAGGTGTGGGGAGGATCCAGACAGCAAACTGAGTGACCAACCGGATTTGAGCGACGGTATAGTATCTCCAGCAAACGGACTCGTGGGGCGCATTCAATGCATGCTAAAGACGCCCTTGACGACTCAGTACAGCAGCTCGCGACGGTCCGATAACCATTCCACAGTGACGTCGCTTCTCTGTCTACTCTTGAGACAGACATTATTGAACTGCAGCCGATCTTATCTGCAGAACATTAGGCTGGATCGCAGTTGGTAGCCAGGCCCCAGGTGGCTGGGGCGGGGGGGAGAGTTGTTTACTGGGGCTGTCTTGTGGGGTTCCGTAATCACCTCTCACCCATTTGGGTTCCGTTTTGCGTTTGAGGTTAGGATTAGGGTACCGGTTAATGGTTTCCGATTTTCGGGTTAGGGTTATGCCTTTGAGCTTAGGTTTTCGGGTAACGGTTAGGGTTTGCGCGTACGATTAGATTTCAGTATTACGATTAGGTTTTTTTTTAGTCACGGCTATGTCTAAGGGCTGCTGTTACGTTTACGATTTCGGTTAGGGTTGGGGTTGCCGTTAAGGTTAACGGTTATTTTTTAAGTTTGACGTTAGGGTTAAGGTCGCCGTCCGCTTTCCCATTTCTGGCTACCAACTGCGATATAACCGAACATTCAAACGGCTGCCGACTTACCTTGTCCCTCCTACGGATGCGCCAATATCTTTCGATCCTAACAGTTATGAGCACCGACTCCGCAATGTCACGCGCAATCTCTGCGCTACACACTCCCCGGGCGTCACCAGCCATTTCCTGCGTACCCCCACCACCTGTTCACATGCGAGTTCATGTTGGTTCGAAATTGTGTTGTTCGTCAGCCATTCCAACCCCTACACCTAAGCCGCTACAAGTTGACGCTGACATGATCCCAATGCAAACAGCCTTGATTAAGCTTAGTTATCAAAAAAATTTCAACTCGACATCTACTGGCTGTTTTTTCCCGTATCATTTATTTTATCCACGGATAGGAAAGCAATTACGGGTACCTCATCCCGAAATGTAAGAGCAGTCCTTCAGCCGTGCCAACGCCGGGGCTCCCCCTCCATTTCAGGCATGCTCTTGTCAGTCTATCACTGGCACCCTCCCTTACGATCCCCTTCTAAGTCTGCAACCCACTTCTGTACCTATCTCGATAAAACTTCCAGTGTTCAACACAATCTGTAGGTTAGCCCACTTCGGAGTCCTGACGACAAACTCTTAAGTGGCGCAGTTGGTCGACCCTGTACTCACTGGGCCACGCTGTATTGGGCGTTCCTTTGCTCCCATACTAATATACTTACACACATTGAGCAGATAAGGAGAGCACAGCCTCAGGCTGATGCCTAAAACACATCCCTGCACAGGTCGCAGTATCAGCCTTACCTCCTGAGCAATTCCTGTCTTAGTCCTCTCCGACCTGCATATGCACTGGATCATCGTTGGCCTTATTGCTGTAGCATCCCGAGCACATTAAAGCTTTCTACTCCCAGCTTGAACGTCGCGCTAGAAATCGTATGATCGTAACTCACACGCGAATGGAACACGCGTATATTCGGCCTCGGGATTTGTTAATCGCAGGCGGCCATAATTTCCGTCTTCGACAATTCCTCTTCAGGAAGGTCCAGTAACATAGTACGTTTGTCTCTGAGTTGAAAATAATCAAGAGTTTGGTCAGCCCACTACATGGGAAAAACGTCATCGGTAGATTGTTGAGGGTGAGTTTTGTATAAGATTACATGGGAGTAATTCCGAGCCCTATATAAGCATCGGGACGCTGCAGCAGGTACAGCGTCCGTCCATATGTGTTTTTATGTTTACTGGGCCGAATTGTGTGACCTCATTGTCGCTCTTCGCCATTATCAGTGCGCACTGCCGTAGTGACTTCTGTGGGCTAACCGGCAAACATCTTTGACCTGTAGACACCAGTCAGATGTACAACGTGTTTCGCTGGCTCTAACGGGTAGCTTAAATATAACTACGGGAGTCAAACGAAACTTGATTCCTGTTGTTGCCGTTTTTTCCTGTTTAGCAGTGTGACGCCGAAATAGGGTGTCTTCTTGTCATTTTAAAGGTCCCTCTGCAAAACAGGATAGAAGAAAGAGCGGGAGGAGGTTGTGGCAGTCCATTTACTGCTCGAACCCGGAAGAATATATGCGCCAGGCAAGGAATTAACAAGACGCCTGTATTCAGCCTAGCCATGACCGAGCACTTCGGCCTGTCGAAGACTTTGTCCAAACGGATACTGACCCAGAGAACTGCTACGGTACACAAAGTTTATGCCGTGAAGGAAGGCGCCGGGGGTTTTATCTTTCCAGAAGGAAAAATGGCGCACCAGTTTGGGGAAGGCTGGTAGATCACAGCAGTGGCTGGGGACGAATATCAACACCTGTACATAGAGGATAGAGGTACTCAAGATGCAAAGTCGAGACGGCTACGAAATCCTGCCACCTGCGACCATGAAGTAAACATGGAAGATCCTTAAATAAAGAGGGAAAAGCCTCCGACTGAAGGAGTCAAAGGAAGGGGAAAGCGACCAGACGTGAAGAGCGAGATCACTCTGAAAGTGGATTGTGCGTGCAGAAGAAGACTGCGGAGGGGTAACTACTGAGTCTAATTACATGGGAGAGGCGAAGATCACAGGACTACTAACACTTAGGGATTCTATATTCGGTGTGAAGGTGTAGTTTGAACTGGCGGATAGGGGTCGATCAACCCTAAAGGTGAGGCTTTCGTACTCAGTCTCCATTATTGAATCGGCTGCAGTCTCGTAGAGGGGAGATTCTGTGCGTAGGGTTCCATCGAAACCTAGAGTGTCGTCCGTAATAAGCTAAAGAGACAGAAGAAAGAGGACCATTTAGATAGCGAGCGCCAGTTTGTTTACCGGCTTTTGAGGTACGGCAAGTTACAGACAAACACTGACTTTCTAAAATGATTGGATAAACATGACTCGTCATTTTGAAAATAAAGCCCGTAGATGGGGGTGTCTAAACCCCCTGTTAAAAATGTTCCAGTCACTAACAATAGCCTCACAAAAAATAATTCGTTGGGTGGGGCATAAGTTTGCTATTGATTTTCGATGTTTGCGAAGAACCAACTCCTTATGAAAAGCGATTTTTCCTTGCGGATTTCCCTGTGGAAATTATTCCTCGCAGCGGAAAAATGTTTACTTTGAGCCATTTGTTGCCGCCTACATGTTCTTCCGATATCAGTCAACGTACTGACTTTCGTATAAATACAACGAATGTTTATCAATATTCATTATAATATTAATGATTTAAATAATTTTGGCCTTTTAAGAAGAGGTAAGATCAACTAAGGCGTTCTCGATAAATGCTCATTTTAATAAACCACAAGATTTTCGGAACTCGAAAAATAGCCATTTGTGTCGGAAGAATAATGTATATGCAAACTTTGAACATGAGATATTTCTTCAAAATCATCTCGTGATCAAAAACAAAGATGTGCTGAAGATCTAAAAACAATTCACTCTTCAGTCGGAGAAGTTATATAAATGAATATTTGAGGGAAGCTGAATTGATGCGGTGCATGTGTTGAATTGAGGTCCCCGTCCTCGTGGGACCGGAATTTCTTCATCCGATTGCATATGTGCCGTCAGCTCTGTGAAGCGAATACCAGTCAATTGATACATTTCAACATGTGTAGCTGTGGTTGGGACCGATAAAATGCATGGTACTTTTGGGTTCAACTTAAAAGAGGCTAGGGATTCTTGTATTGGGCGTGTGTCCATACGTGCCGGGTGACCAACACGTGGGGCACACGACATGGGGACAGAGTATTTGATCAGTTGTTGTGACGGAACTCTTCAGCAGTCACTCCAACGTAAGGTACGGTACTCGTAAGTCACCACCGCGTCCTTTCTGGATCAGTGGTGGTCCTGAGCACATTAGGCGACGAGGTCTGATTCTGCAGCCTCACCTGAGTGATACCACGTGGTTAGCATTTTAAAAACATTTTAGTAGATGCGAGTACGGTAACTTTACAAATGTCATGCATTTACATCTTCCCTACAATTGTAATTCAGCGAATGACTGTGCCAGGGGGAGGAATGCTTATACGTCAGCTCACGCACGCTCCCCTGCGCGTGTTTCGAGCCTTGTTTGCGCCCTCTTCATTATCCTAATCCAACGAGCGACTAAGTAGACTAGATAATGGAATTGTTCGGACGGTGGGGAACTCCGTCAGTTCTACTACAGTGGCCATGCACCGCAAATTGCCACGCGGTTCCCCCCGTGGCCTTCCAGTTGTGATTGCGTCCGCCTTATCCTTTCAGTTCGGCGCGACTCTGTCGGGAGGAGTGTGTACACGCCACCTTCATTCGCTTCCGTGCGCGTTCTTCAAGCTTTGCTTGTGCACTCTTTCCATTCCTAACTCAGCGAGGGGCTAAATTGGGTATGTTAACTAATATTGTTTCAGTAAGCTAACCATATGATATCACTCAGGTGGGGCTGCAGAACCAAACCTCGCCCGTTCGGCAAATGAACTCTAAGTTATGACAACCATATTTCCTAATGGGCCAAGTAGCATATGCCTTTATCTGCCGCCAAATTTCTACGGAAATTAAACTGATGAGTAGGGAGGCTGGTCGACCACCGGTACCAGATATTTATTTTCCCGAGCTGTCGAACTCCTGCAGAGGAGGAAAAGCGACAGTTATAGTGGTATTGACCAATAAACGACCAGGGCCGCAGATAAGGAGGTGACTACACAGGGTGTCAGATGAATATGCCGATCGATTGACTTATTTTCCAAGGCCCAGACTTCAAATCAGTTTCGAATCGTTTCGCTCCTGGTATGGGCAGTTATCTCGGCGGCTGCGAAGTGGAACTAGTGACCCACTTCGAAAGCGTGGGCAGTCACTTGTGATAATTCGTTACCTCGCCGCACAACCGCCTTGCGTTTGTGTGCATGCGATCTGAGCTGCGTCCAGTCTGACCTGCGTAATTTCAAGCAGTCCGAGCAGGGGATGCGATAAACTATACCACATAGGTTTCCTGGGCTTTAAACAGTTTGTTGTGCATGATAACTTTGGACCAGGGTGCAGTTTCAATACCTAGTCCCACACCAGTGCGTTCGGATGGTGATGTATGGTAGAGTACGTCATATCTTTGGTGGTGTTTTCGTATCTTCTGGTGATCGACCAGTCACCCCATACATTCATATGAAACTCCCGAATTCGCCTCTGTTCTTAATTCAATTGATTTTCGTGCAAATAATTCACAGGAAGAGTAACCTTTGCAAAAGCTTCACAATACGTACGTTCAAACCACGCGGTAAGGATCTGTAAGGGGGCGTCGACAGGTATGTATGGGATGATTCTGAATATAAAAACAACGCATTCCAGTGCGTGGATTTGATTAGGAGTATCTGTCTTTCAACTACGCTCTCATGGATTTTACCCTTAACAATATAAATTAAGTCTTCGGTCCGTGCCCCATGATCTTTGGGTCTGCAAGACGCTTGATGGCAAACATGATATCAGTTGACGCCCAATGCCACAGAAATTCGCATACAGGAGCTGACATTCAGGGGAGACAACGACGTAGGTTAGGACCTTTTAAAAGAAACAGGGCTTGAAAGATACTCACCTGCCCGAGTGGAGCAATGAAATCAATCAGGGTGCCGGTCCGCACAACTGCGAAGTCGCTGCGCACCGCACATTTCTGCTGAAGAGACAGATCGAGTCGGCCTGTCACCTGCAATACGAAAACTTGCTCCTGCTCTTCCGCCGCCGGCGCCTCTGATGTTAACTCTTCAGGTTTCTCGTTCATGACGGTGGTTTCTGCCACCGTCTGCGTAGCCAGCAAGGGCGAAGGACTGATGTGATAAATACAGGTCGAATCTTTCGGTGATCGGATATATGGTGGCGGGCTTATTGTCGGGGCGCAGTTTTTGTGGAATATCAACTCATCTTCTTCAGTCTCCTCATCATAAAGTGTGTCTCCAGACGGCTGGACGCTATTCACTCCTGCAGTCTCTGGCAGGTGGATAATCGTGTCGTAGGAAACCACCGAGGACAAGGTGCAGTCGTTCGAATGAAAAACGACCACGGAGAGGGTATAGGTCAAGGGACCGGGTTCCATCTCTTCGATGGACTCTGTGCGATTGCAGCAACGGTTACCGAGCTGGCTGACGGCTGTTGTGAAGGAACGAAACCTGGAAAAGAGGATCATTATTGACAGTTTATGGAGTGGCTCGATAAGGAACCTTAATTCAGTTTCACGAATCAGAGGAACATAAAAAACCCAAGTAAGGTTATAAATCAAAGGTTAAATGAGGAAATGACGACGATAATGAGGATGTGATGATTAAGAAAAAGCAGCAGAACAGTGAGAGGTCGGTGGATTCGAACTTCGAGGGACTTCTCCAGACAAATGTATGTCCTTTTAAGCTAGCTCTTTCGGTGGCCATTGTCACCCGACCCGACTTAAGTCTGACTTCTAAATTCTTAGGTAGGAGCAATCGTCACAGGGTTTTCCCCGCAGGAAAGAGGCCGATAGTTTGGCATCAGGAGGCCTTCCATTTATCCTTGAGGATGACTAAAAGTCAGGAATATGATGACAAGTTTTTCTGCTTAGAAACCATAATACCGATCTCTATCTTTTGAATGTGGTTAGCCTACCGTCCAGCAAAACTGCGGTTGGTACATAAGTCATAATTGGTAGACTGGAAATGATTTAACATAGTCAAAGTAGCTAACTGTTAAATTCTCAGAAATATGTTTCGCAATTTTCTACTGTTGAGATAAAAACTCGAGGGACTTGGCCATCAGCGGATTCTCCGGACGCGCTTTATGTAGATTCTGGTAGTTCTTAGGACTTTTCAATAAAAAGCAATCCAATTTAAATCATTGAAAAAACATACGCGGTAGTATCCTCCAGACAACAGCGCGTGACGGTTGCGGGGAAGTTGCAGCAACTAAAGGTCGTCTCCAACAAAGACATCTCTTTGAATTGCGATGGACCAACACACGGGAATTTTCGAGCATGCAGCTGAATTTCTACTGCGTCTATGTCCAGGACCTCAAACTTGGGCGACTGAATGCTCTCCAGGGAATAAAGAAGTTGTAGAAGGTCGAAGGTCATTTTCTGTGCACTGTAGACTGGGGGCAGCTGGGTTGGGCAGGCTTGAGTGTGCCTTCCCTCCAGACCCACTAACTGTTGCGTGATTGCATACCCGTTTTCCAGCAGATTGACCGTGTACTGGCGGTGAACCGTCACGAGAAGTTTCAGATTTAGAGTGCACATCTGTTCACACCAGTCGGGCGTAGGGAAGACCTCCGCAGGGCCCTCCAACTCTTCACTAAATATTCTCGGCTCCACATGGTAGATGTGCTGGAAGATCTTCTCGCTGCGTTCGGAGAAGAGTATAGACTCATCACCACTGTAGTGATCCATTCTGTGCTGACTACTTGGGTAAAAGAGGCGTGAGGAGTTTCTTGTGTCGGAGAACCGTGGTGTTGGGAACTGGGAGCATTTATCTTTGGCTCGTGGCGGTGTCATTGGTCGGTCCAAAATGAATCGGCGTGTCTTTGAGATGAGCCACTGATTGCACTCAAAGTGATACTGCAACCTGTTGTCCCTGTCCTCAATTGTAAAAGACTGTATGAACCAATCTTCATCGGCTAGGAGAAAAGGATGATAAGAAGAGTTTATTTCCTTAGTCCTTAGTGAGAAAATGAACTAACTTCACGTGAGTATCTAAAATCGGTTGAAAAATGCTAAAGGGCTAGTAGGGCTTTTTCGTGCTTGAGATCAAGAACGATGATTGGGTGAGGCTTTAACAAAAGCTAGTGTTCCATGGGCAGTCGCATAATGCAACTAGATGGGTATATATTGAGTCTAAATAAGCCGCTGAAATAGTCCAATGTCCTTTTAAGCAAGTCCATCTTACCGAAGTCTGAATGGTGCAGAGGATGAGAAGTTTGGCACAAACCTCTCTGTGAGGGACAAACAACTTTACGTTTCTGTAAAATTGACTTGAAATAACGTCGAAAGCCGTATATCACTGTCTCATTTGAGGTCCTTTTTAAGATTTTGCTATTAACTAGAAGCAATTTAACAATAACTGTGAAAGTTCCAACAACGTGGGAATGTAACACCGGAAAAACAAAGAGGAAAAGTCCCAATCAATTTCTTGAAGTCTTTTGTGTAATTGTATGTGGAAAGGAGTTGATCAACCGCCCATTAAAAGGCCCTAGTTGGCTTGTAAAAGACAAGACGGGATTCCTATTTTTATAATTTATATAATAATTTTATATAATTTATATAATTTATAATTTTATAATTTATAATAATTTTATAATTTTATAATTTTTTTCCTATTTTTTTTCCTATTTTATTTATAAATAAATTTTACGGTCAACAAGTGGATAACGTTTACTAGCTCATGGAACCCGGGTCGGCGGGGAAAAGTAGGAATTTTGAAGGATTGATACATTATGACGTATCGTTTGTCGAGGTAGCCGGACGAAACAAAAATAATCAATTTTTGAACAGGTAGGCATGTCTGGTATTATTGAACTCAAGGTCTTCCCTTAATCAAAACAAGTTAACCGCTGATAATTGAGTGGTGCGATTTATAATGGATGGTACACATTGTTCCTCAAATGTTTCAGCACTACTAAAGTCAGGCTGATACGAACGCGTGCCCTGTTTTGCGAACACTTTGATTAACTCATGGTGCGCATAGTCCAACTGTTTACACGGTATTTTGGGACAGTAAGGAGGACAGGAAAACTCCTTGACTGAAGCCGACTGCATTAATCTTGTTGGTTACGGCCCTAGACACATGCAATTAATTGTTTCAAACGGAGCGGTCGATTGCTGCTTAGCCAAAATGACTAGTCAGGAGAAATATGACTAGATATGCGATGAGGAGTTCGATTTCCCGACTGCCCTTTCTGTCTACATCACAAAAGTTAAATGATTTGGATGGAAATACGGTGCAGCTGAAACACCTTAAACACTAAATGAACTTTTTCGGACGATGGCAGATAGGAAAGTGGTGCCCGGAGTCTGTTTAGAAAGAAAATTTCGCCTCTCTTTGGTCGAAAATTGCTAATCTGGCAACATGAACTCTTAGAATGAAAGCAAAGGCGATCTTGAAGTGGTAAACAGAGACCACCAACCCCACATGAGCTAGCCCAGAAACAAATGTTTCGTTCACCTACACCCTTTCCCGAGCGTGGATACCTTCGTGACTGGCAGAGTTTGGGCCGGTGTAACGGCGCTTCTGGTTCTCGTCTGATGAGACCGAGTTAGCTAATATCCCAGCCGTCGGCTGTCAAAGTTGCGATGGCTATGACCTTCGACAGCCTTTAGCATGTTACTCTTGCCGCTGTTGGCGAGGGTGCGCCTGCCAGTTCATTACCACACATAACTATGTATTTTAAGTGCCCTGCCACCTCCTAGAATATCATATCGATGTACACTGAAGCGCACAACTTCGCGGTAACAAAGAAGGGAGTTCCTTGCAACCCTCCACATCAACCGTCTCGCACATTCCCTATCAGTACCCGGTGGGTTGACCACCTGTGTAACGAACGAAGGACGAAGAAACACAGACTCCAACTATGTCCACGATACTAAGGACTAAATAAATGGACCATAAATGGCTATCAGTAGGCTAGTCCAGCTGCTTGAGCTCGTTAGCTGAGAAGTAGTGAGGGTAACAATCATGTCATCATTTAAAGGAATTACGTCAAGGTAGTAGGCTTACTGGCCTTATGTAAATGGTCTATGGTTTGGCACCTTACGAAATTGTGTTTGTCGGCCTAGCGACGGAGTTGGTTGCTGTGTTGCATGCGGGAGTTTTATAACGAAGAATGCTGATGACCGTAGTGTGAGTAGCGGTGAAGGTCAGTGAGTATGCAGTAAGAGCCTTACAATCCAGCAGTTTAGTCGAACAAAAGTCAAACTCTTACTGGAAGAGATGGCAGCGTCCGCCGGCATCACTTCTAGGCTTGAAACCGAGCCCAGGCGGTCGCAGGTGAAACCGAACTTGTCCACATGCAGGGCCTCTGAGTTAAATACGTCCAGGCAGTCGTCTTCCACACTCTCGAAACGCTGCTGTGCCCGACGTGCACTGAGCCTACCGGAGCGCGGCGTTGGAGTGGCACTCGTGCTGGTGGCGTGCGAGGACAGGAGGTTGCGTTTTTCGTGCATCAGCCGGTAGCGCAGGGAGAAGGGCAAGGAGAGGCTGGGCGATCTGCCTTCACAGCCGCTGAGAACCAACGTGAGCGGCGGCGCAGCGTCATGCGAAGACTGCACACGAAGACCTCTCGACTTTGGCTGACTTTTACGGTAACTGCGCACGGTGATGTAGTAAGTAACCTGCGCTCTCTGCATGGCAAGGTGTGGCCAGTGCATAGCACTTGCCTAAAAGAATGGGCAGAGGGAGGGTCTCGAAAATCAAAAGAGGAGGGGGAAACAAAAATTGAAAAAATAAGGGAAGGATAACTAGGCGAGGAGAAGGAGATAAAAAGAGTACAGAAATGGAGGAAAAAGAGTGGCAAGGATGAATGAAAGAGAAAGGAGTTAAAGATGATGGCGCAAGAAGAAAAGTGGTAGAGGAAAGAAGTGGGTGAAATGAGAGAAAAGAGAGAATTCGGCAAAACGATAGCGATGAATTAAAATTGAAGGGAAGGGAATTCATTATGCTTTCTATCTGCCTGGATAAGTCCGAACAGATAGGTCAAAACGGCCTTAAGGGCGCATGTGGCATACGCCCCACAGGCGCCATGTTTATAAGAAACTGGAATAAAGCTTGTAAATAACTATAAATGTGAGCGGTTTTTAACTGATATCGCCAAAAAACTCATGGAAAGTGTGACTAACATAGAATGCTACTGTAGATCGTATGAGGAGACGCATTAAGAGGGAAACAAATTATAATATTATTACAATCCTACTTGAAACGCCTTATTTACCCAAAATGGATGATTTATCATCTAATATTTAGAATTTAAGACTGGACTGGAAGAATTCGAAGAGGGTAAGATGTGGGGGTCGGGTCTGAAATGCGCCTGAAGCCAATAGGATATGAGGTTGTAATTATTCAAAAGAGAAGATCATTTCTTACAGTTCCGATCAACAGTTTGGTCATTTTCTGCAGTTTTTTAACTAGTAAACTGTCCCAAACGCCTATCCTTTTTATCCGATCGAAAGGAAAACATCGATTTTGACGTGAGCTCTCCTGGAGCAATCACGCTTTCAGAATGAATCAAAATTCTGGTTCCCCTTTCAGTTAGTCACTAATTGTTTGAAGTCCAGTAAATCCGTATTCGATTTGAAACTCGTCTCTTCATCACGGTTTTACCAACCCTGGCATATTTGATATTTGCAAAAATGAACGTAATGAAAAGTTCGGGTGCTCTAAACAGAAAATCTACACAGCATCGGAGAAGGGACGCCTTGGCTTGCAGTCCAACCGATAGCTACAACAGGCTTTGAAACCTACTGTCATTCTCCTAGGCATGCCCGAGCCGTTCTTTTGCAATTAGTACGACCATTTGGTGACGTCTATGACCGGTCAAATCATTTGCTACTTAAATTATTCAAAAGGAGGTTCATTTAACGATGATGAGAATAATTTTCCCGCCTCGAACGAGCTTCTGCGCATTGTGATTGATGCACCCTCTTCACGTCCTAGACTCTTACGTGTCGGAAGGTTTAAAATTCAATAACGATTCCCCAACTTATTTATTTACTAACATAAGCAGAAATCCTCGACTTTTATTCCGATTTTGCCTCGAGTTTTCCATCACTTTTTCACTGAACCTCATAGTTTAGATGTGATTGCGGTAAACATTTAGATTACAGTAGTTATCTTTCTCTCTTTCATCTTAAAAAATGCGGTCAACATCACAAATAAACCCATCACAGTTCGTGACCCAATCCTGTGGCCGAGGAAAAGGTTACTTACCATGGAGTCGTAGACATGGAGTTGTAGACGGACAACTGAATATGCTTCGTAAATAACAATCATTTTCCACAATGAACTATGGAAATATGACATCTGCTCCGACAGAAAACTAATACCCCAGTCCCGTACTTTCGTGTCATACACCGACAGATAACTGTTACCTAGAAAACTTACGCACTATTGCAAGCTGTCTAGAATACATCTGAATGACTCGTCGCTGTAGAACTGTTGGCTTACCTTGGCTTTGGCGACCGGTCCGGGCAGAAGAGGCATTCTAAACCTATCCAGCTCACTGCTTTGAAGAGGCAACTTTCGTCCAGAAAACAGAGACTGTCCGAAAACGGCCACTTGGGACGGCAGGTAGGCAAAATCGTTGCCAGTCCTAACGATGTCCATTCGATTAACCAGTGCTGGTACGGAGAGCGAGTTCCTTCTTAGGCCCTGCTTTCCGGTGACATGGTAACCCAGTTGCGAGGGGGTAGAGGCCGTTCCCGAAGCCTCGAGTATTCGCGGCAGGGTAATTTTCTTTGGTCCAGGCCAAAGGACAAGAACTCTGACCCCTGGCTCCAAGCTCAAGTAAAAGAATTTACAAAAACCAGTGTGAAAATCGTGACTTGCGTTTCCCTCAATTGGAGAATTTGGAGCGGTCAAAATGGCAGGTCCTGTCCCAATTTAGAGCCGACT